TTWAMSKWAWTTTCTTYTTWTTTTTCACAATATTTACACAATTTACACTTAAACTGAATACAATGACACTCTAAAAGTTACAATGTGATTATTTAATGAATGAGAATTTTAAATTTAYGTGAGCACGAGTGCCAAAACCTACATATATATCAAGAAGGGAAKATTTGACGCGAAGCTTTACTCAAATCTKCSRWTTKAWYTTRCTAAACAGAATGCTACACGAGGGTAGAGCTAGCCTTTGTCATCGACAGCTCACACAGCATCAACCTCAAAGATCCTAAAAACTTTGACCGCTGCAAAGAGTTCGTGAAGAACATCGTGAAAGGCTTTGAAATCCTGGACACRCTCRCACGTGTGGGAGTAATATCGTAYTCAAACAACGCGCATGTGCAAATGAAATTTGCCGATTCTACAGACGAAAAGAAAGTSTTAAATGTCGTWGATGGAATTCCGTATCAAAAYAGTGGGACAAAGACTGGTAATGCAATCGTTGCCGCAGGGAATCTCTTGTTCAGCCAATCACGAGAAAAAGTGCGAAAGGTACGTCGTATTTCTTTCTTAAAATTGTATTAAAACGAATGARAATTGAAAGTGTTGAACTCTGATTGTTAAAACATGGCTGCTAGCACWTARCAARTCCTCATAACMAAGTTGTTGCACTTTACCGTGAAATAGTAGACTACCAGCGAGTAGCAGACCTATTTTGAATGTTTTTCTTTTCTAGTACCAGGAGTATTGCACACTCCAAGTTGTGTTTCACGAAAAAAGCGTAACTACTGGATTTTTCTTAGAAATAATTTTGATTCTTTCCTTTCAGGTTCTAATCGTCTTAACAGAAGGCGGATCAACAGACGATGACATAGGCCCCGCCAAAGCTCTAAAACAAGCCGGAGTAGAAATATTCGTGATTGGACTGGGCAAAACCCACACGAAGAAAAGGCTCTTTGACATGGCAACTGACGGACGCCATGTTTTTATGTCAGACTTTAAAAGTCTCAAAGCAATCGAGCAGACCATTAAAGACATGGTATGTGAACCTCCGACYATAACCTACAAATGCCAGTGTGACTGCTGTGGTGACGTGTATACCTGCACACAGGATGACGTCAAAGCTGGTTGTAAATGTTCTAATTGAAATTCCGACGTCACATCACAACGTCATCGGGCGAACAGCGCTTGTCAAGAAAAACGAAGGCTCAGAGAACGAGATTGGTACAGCGGTACTAACCTTACATTTTCAGTGTTCATAAGAATTGTTGTGACCATTTCATAACATAATCAAGCTRATTTAATGTAATAATTATAATATTTTAATAAATAAAAGTATTTTAATGTCGTGTAGACTAATCTCACTTTGTATTTACTTCATAGAAGCAAATGTAGTAAGCGTTTTAACTTAAATACAGCTCTTTTAAAAAGAATGATGAAATGCTTTGACATACGAAAACCGAAATGCATTATTGACAATAAAACGTGTGTGCGATGTAGCCAAGCCAWCCGTCGACAGTTTCTTCAAACCATCTGCCTTTGCCTGATCCTTCGTCTTTGATTGTGGGATGATTCCTCAAGGAGAGTCGAGKTTTTTAAGTACTTCATCAGCGCGCGTGCGCAGTTCAATCAACTGTCTTCTAGCGTTTCTGGCGACTGGGTTTTTCTTTGCTCCTATGTTTTGTTCGCGGCTTTGTGTTTCTCTCACTAAGGATGATATTTGATCTGAATAAAAACAGTTGATGTTATACGTGATTAAAAAAATGGTGATCCCATACTGACATYGCAATATTAAGATGCACAAAAAGTTAATTCAATCATACAAAATAAATAATCTACATTTGACCATTGAAAATATAAAATACGTCCTAGTTACCTTTGAAGTTTGAGGCTTTGAAATCCATTGCGCTTACACGGATTGAGTTTTCAATCTAAAAATAATTAAATAGTTGTTTAAGCTTAGATTTTGTKGCAATTTAGCGTRCAAATATGGATGCAAGTACTTACAGCTTCGAGGAGAACCTTGAAAGCGTCAATTAGCTTCAGTAGAGCCCTGTTATAACATACAAACCTAGTCAGTTACATAACTTGACTACAAAAGCAATATGTTTGAGCATGGGAAGAATTTATCGAATTAACGTGAAACAGTTGTATGTTCTGATATTGCAGCATATTGTACTGTCAAATATTTTCTTTGCTTACCTGATGTTAGGGTTCTTTACAGGAGCTGAAAAAAGAAACGATTAAAAACTGTTTAATATTGCAACTACAAAAGCAAAAACCTTCCAACTAACCACCAAACCAACCCATCCACCAACCAAAAAAAAACCATCCACCAACCAACAAACCAACCCACCAACAAACCAACAAACCAACCCATAAACCAACAAATCAACCAACCAACCAACCGACCAACCAGAACCAAACAACCAACCAACCTACCAACAACCAACCCATCCACCAACAAACCAACCAACCAACCAACCAACCAACCAACCAACCAACCAACTAAGCAGCCAACCAACTAACCAACCAACCAACCGACCAGCCCATCGGCACTCTTTATTTCTTTGAAATACTTACTTTTCGTTGGAGCAACGGTTATAATCTGACGATTGCAGTCATCTCCTTTACAACATGTCAAGTTACAGAACTTAGCACCAACTCCCAATCGATCACAAGCTGTTTTGCACTTCACTGGCTGCATGCATCCCTTAGCGAACATCTTCTCCCCAGACTGGTAACCAGCCTCGCCAAAATAGCAAAGACGGTCGCTTGAATCGCATTGTTTTAGTATTCTTTTCGATTCACAGTCCTCTTCGCTAAGTTGTGAGTGACAATGTGTGCACCATAGTCGTCTTGTTCCTGTATCAAAGAAAGACGTGTAAACGTCTTGCGTAATGATTACTGTGCGTATCCACAGCGTTTATCCGTGTAGTAGTCCGTTTTATGATACAYAAGKCAWCATTCTGTTTTATGGCTTTGTATATCAGTTACGTGGCGTTGCGTACACGTAGGACGTAACGTGTTATTTGGTGTGATACTTGATTTTAATTTGTAATTTTTTTTCGTTAGCTTTGCAGATCAGTTATAGGATGCTGCGTATCCATAGGTTTTCTACCTACCAGTTCGTTTTTTAGCCCCCTTTAAAATGCAAACATGTAAATTTTTAGACACAACTGAAGATGACTCATAGTCGAAAACGTTTTTCAATGTTTTAATTTCATAACATCTATATATTTTCATCCTTGTACATAATAATAAGTTCGTTTTCAGATACGCAATTTCGTTATACTAAAGCTTTGCTTACCAGTTACTGGGCTTTGCGTATTCGTAGATGTAATCGTTGGAGGCTGCGTATTTGTTCCAGGCTTGTTGCATAGGTTTCCATCGCAGCACTCATAAGTACAGTTCACTAATTTGTTTTGAAATGTTTTGCAGTATGTTCGACATTGCTCAACAGTTTGTGTAGTACACCCTCTAGCGAAGTTTGTCGTTTTTGAACCTTTCACTGTTGCTMCGCCAGAGTAACACCTCTCGCCCACGTTACATTGCACTACTTTAGCGACTTTGTCACAAGAAGCTCTATCCTTACCCACACAGAGGAAACATTTTACACCTGTAGGCGCTGTTGAAAGATGATATGGTGATATTAGCAGATATGTTTAACCGATGGCTTAATCATGGCCTTAGTGATGAGAATAGCTATGTATGGTGAAGTATGGTAACCTGGCAATAACGATGGGTGAAGACAGGCGATTACATTGGAAAAATTGTGCGATTTAAAGGTTTTAAATTTGATGTAAATATGATGTAAGTGTCCAAAATTCTGTAAATTCAATAGAAATCATTTAAATCAAAATTTACAGAATTTTGGACACTTACATCATATTTACATCAAATTTACAACCTTTAAAGCGCGCGATTTTTTACAGTGTAAAAAATAATGGGTTAGCGATGACAATAAGATGTATGGTAACGTATGGCGTTCAACAGCTATGGAAGAAAGAGGAATAAACGACAGAATTAAGAGCTATGGGTGTAGCAGTGGACGAGAGTTATGATCTTAGCATGGGAATGGAGCTATGGGATAGCATGGGGAAGGGACCTATGGGTGTAGCAGTGGAAGGGCTAATGGGCGTAGCAGGGAAAGGGAGCTATGGGATAGCATGGGGAAGGGACCTATCGGCTTAGCATTGGAAGGGCTAATGGGCGTAGCAGGGAAAGAGAGCTATGGGATAGCATGGGGAAGGGACCTATCGGCTTAGCATTGGAAGGGCTAATGGGCGTAGCAGGGAAAGAGAGCTATGGGATAGCATGGGGAAGGGACCTATCGGCTTAGCATTGGAAGGGCTAATGGGCGTAGCAGGGAAAG